GCAGGGCATTTGTGGGAACTTCAGATTGGAGAACCTCTCTCCTCTACCAGTGAGGTAAAATCAGTAGATTCTTTGGGAATTACTCCATCTGGAGACCTATCAATCAAACTCACAAGACTCCTCTGGGGTCAACAGTCTATTAGTTCTTGGACCTGATTTTCAGCACTGTTTGCTCTCTGGCTGCTGGAGATAAGAGTCTCTTTAACTACATCCTGGAGAACTTTCTAACCTTCATGCATCCCTGAGGCCATAGCTGGTTACAGCACCAGCCTCAGGGAAGGCTCTGTAGGCTGGCATCAATCATCTCACGTTCTACTAGTGCAGATCCTTGTTGTCCTTGCGATAGTGACATACCAACCCCCTACTGGCTTGGGGCTACTTTGAGGACCACCCATCTTAGATCAAGAGTCTCCAGAAACAGAGGTGTTTGAGACCTGTAGAAGTGAGGGAGGGGGGAGACAGGAGCAAATGACAGTGGATGCCACAAATGTTCCAGCCAAATGCCATTCCTGTCTGTGACGGTTTGCTCCTGGGATGGCGAGAAACTCACAGGGCAGAAGTAGAACTTCTGGATAAGACACTGCCCACACATTGCTTAGGGACTGTCCTCCAGCTGCTCTGAACTGTAAGGATAAGGGATGAGGCACCAGAACATCTATAGCTAAGAAGTCATCATTTCAGTATAACAAGTACAACTCGGGGGAATTGAGCCTGCCTTCTCTTGTGGAATACATGCCTTCTCATTAGTTGAGAGTTCTAATACCTAGTGGCCTGGAGTACTGGCTCTGGAATAGGCCTTGTGTCTTTTTTTTTTTTTTTTAATTTAACTTTATTTTATGTGCATTTATTTTGCCCACAGTACTAGGTTTCCTGGAACTGGAGTTACAGACAGTTGTGAGCTGCCATGTGGGTGCTGGGAATTGAACCCGGGTCCTCTGGAAGAGCAGCCAGTGCTCCTAACCGCTGAGCCATCTCTCCAGCCCCTAGGCCTCGTGTCTTACTCCACCACTGTCTCTACAACCTTGAGCAAGTCTCCCAGGACCTCAACATCTTCATTTATTTAATGTTTGGATTTTAATCCTCCAGAGACCCCTGAGTTGAAGGCTTTGTCACCAGTCTGTGGCTCTATTGGGAAATAGTAAAAAAATTTTTAGAAGGGAGACTTAACAGGAGGAAATGAGGTTCCTGGGGGTGTGCTCTGTCCTGTCTCTCAGTGTCCTGGTTGCTATGAAGGAAGAGCTTTGTTGTACCATGCTCCCTGCTGTGATGCTCTGCCCTGCTGTAGGCCCAAAGCAACAGGATCAAGCAACCATGAACTGAAACCTCTGTGAGCCAAAATAAATCTATCTCCTTTGCTTTTGTTTTTGTTTTCCTGCCAGGCATGGTTTGTAATACCAGCATTCAGGAGACAGAGGCAGGAGGATTGAGGATTGAAGCTAAGAGCTTCATTTCTTCGGCTTTTCTGTTGAGATCAGGCCATTACTCCATGTTGTTATAAAACGTTGTTTTGTTTTGTTTTTCCAAGCTGTGCCTTACCCTGAGAGACTTGTTTTACAAGCAGCATTTGATTTCAGTGTGAATGTAGCTTCTGAGGCAGGAGGACACTGAATCTTGTTATGCATGTAAGTACCACTTGTCTATCACCACCTGTAAGGTAAAAATTGATAAGTAACTTATTCCCAAGAGTAAACATGGTATCACACTAAACATTCACCCAAGCAAACTTAGACCATGAGCATAGGGGCATATTAAAATTGTGTCAGGAAAGCCAACCTGATAACTTATCAAATATACCACATTGAGAGAAGGTGCGGCATCCTCACTGGGGTCCTGTAAAGAGGAGGACATCTCATACTGCAGTGGCAATGCCCCCCCACCACATACCTGTCACCTGATCGTCTAGTGGATGCTTCAAGAGACCATCAACCAGAGAACTCCCAAATGTCCCAGGGGCTTCAGCTTGGCTCTGCTCTTGCTGCTAACACAACCTTCTCAAATTGTCATCTGTCATCTGTCTGAACCCAATTCTGTTCTTTTGTTTGTTTTCTAACCTCTGTGTCTTCCATGGTCCCATCCCTCAGTTTTGCAGGTCTATTCAGCCTTAAGGGGGGAGTCAAACCTGTGACCCTGAGGTTTGTCCCTGTGGCAGGGCCGTTAGCTGCAGAGTTCATGATCTAACTCGTAGAGATGTTACATGTCTCTGAGTCCTATGCCTTTGCCCACCAGTAAGGCCTTTTGGAACCCCTTGAGCTCTGTCATAGCCTCTTTAACCCTTTTATAATGTGTGTGTGTGTGTGTGTGTGTGTGTGTGTGTGTGTGTGTGTGTGTGTTTGCACACATGTGCGTGCGTGTGTGTGAAAAGATTTACTATGTGATGTGTATTTTGTATCTGGGAGTTAATATTAGTAATTAAGTTGTATAAAGAATGTTTGCTAATAGTCAGCTATCAAGGGAAATCAGGACTACTTAGCAAATTATAGCCAACAAAATCAGCATAACTTGTGAATTTATTAATTATTAAATAAATTCAGACATTGGGGAAAGATACCAATGTATCTGTCCATCTATGTTTCTAATATAGTGTGCTCATGATTGCTCCATAGTGAGTTCCAGGCTACCCTGGACTACATAATGAGATCCTGTGTGAAAAATTCAAGCTGATTTTTTTTTCAGGCATTTTGTCACAACAACAGGAAGACAGCATTTTCCATAAAACCAGACAATATTGTTTCTTCCTCACAGCGTCTAGAACATTGTCTGTCTCTTGCTGCCACTCAGTGGATACCATTTATTTTTATTAATTGATTCAAGTCTCCTTTTTAAGTGCCAATAGCCTTTGGGAAGAAATGCAGGAAGATGGGCTTCTAGCATGGATCTGACAGGGCACTGTGCCTGGCAGGCTTACCTACTCTGGATGAGACAGAATAGCCCCCACACCACATATGGGGAATTCAAGACCCGCAAAGGTTAGGGTAACTCCTGGCCGTGTGGCAGGAAGACCCAGAAAGGTTGGGGTAACTCCTGGCCGTGTGGCAGGAAGGACTCTGGTGTAGCTAGAGTTTTCCTGCCTGGCCCACAGTCAGGACAAATCTCTCTCACCTGCCAGTCCCACAGCCGCTCAGACCCAACCAAGTAAACACAGAGACTTATATTGGTTACAAACTGTATGGCCGTGGCAGGCTTCTTGCTAACTGTTCTTACAGCTTAAATTAATCCATTTTTATAAATCTATACCTTGCCACGTGGCTCGTGACTTACCGGCATCTTCACATACTGTTTGTCATCGTGGCAGCTGGCAGTGTCTCTCTCTCAGCCTTCCACTTCCCAGCTTTATTCTCCTCCTTGTCCCTCCTATACTTCCTGCCTAGTCACTGGCCAATCAGTGATTTATTTATTGACCAATCAGCAACACACTTGACATACAGACCATCCCACAGCACTCTGGTCCGTCTGGCTCTTCACTCCTGCCCCCTCTGTCCATGTCGGATGAGGATCATGTCTGCATGTGCCCCACATTTACAAGAGGCTATTAACCCCTTGTTCTGGGACTTCCTCAGTATCCTTACTCTCAACAGCCCAAAGACACAAGTTCCATGCAGCTTCCTTGGCTGGGGGTTGGGGTGTGGAGGCCCTGAATTCATATGCCTAGGATTGCCCCACAGCTGTGATGTCTAAAGGGTACAAAGGAATCTACATTCCTAGGAAGTGTTCACAAGGCCACCCTGTCAGGGGAAAGGTAAAGGGGCCAGCAGGCGGCTCCTGACCTTGGGTGATATGAGATTTTGATGACCTGCTCTCTGCAAGAGAAAGCTCAGATGCTTCCAAAGAGAGAGACACCTGGACACAGCCAAGCTGCAAGGCCTCAGTCTGGAGCCTCCCTGCAGAGCAGCAGCTTCTCCTCCATCTGCTGGTCTGCTGGAGCCAGCGCCACCCAGCAGGGGCATGCCTCCTTACGTCCTGGCAGGGTAGTTCTTGCCTGGCCCAGGGCCATGTGTGGGGGTGGGTTTATGTGTTCAAATGCGCAACCTTCCATCTCAAAGGCCATAGGCTACTGGTCAAGTTAAGTCCATGGTAACTTTGGGCTCCCCTTCATTGCTTGCCACAACCACCTCCCACCTGGCCATCACAGAAACTTGCTGACAACACATGGTACAAGAGCTGTCTGTACTTCCAGGTCTTTCCTTGGGTCCAGCCCCCAAGGGGGAACTATCAAAAAAGATGATATGGGTGCTGCTTAGGTTCTGCTGCCTCTCTTAACTTCCTTTATAAAACTAGTACCTAGCAGGGAGCTGGGAAGTGGGGCTTCTCCCATCCCACAGCCTGGCCAGACCAGAGGACCTCCTAGACAATGTCTGGCTGTCTGTACATCTACAGCCTGCCAGCCTGACCCAGGAATGGTTCATACATATTCTGGGCCCGAGCTCGGCTTGGTTGACCGCCACCCCACTGGCCCCAGGCAGCTTGATACCCAAGTCCCCCAGCGCTCGGGTTGCATAAAGCCATTAAGGGGCTCAGGCTGGGGGCTGGGAAACCTTTTAGCATTCTCCTGTGATTGTTTGAGTTAATGTGACTCTATTTTCATGGGGCTAAAATAGAGCATGTAGTCCTGGAGCTGTTGCCGTCATTGCCATGGTGACACGGTTCTGGCAGAGCCTCCTCATCCTCCACTGGGTCTTAAATAACCCCAGTCCTCAGGGAGGTGCAGTGGGACCCAGTCTGTTTTCAGAGGCCTCCAGACTGGTGTAGCACAGTAGTCCTATGTGTTCTTATGCTCGGACAATGCCCCTAGCCTCTAACTCAGGCTTGGATCCTGGTCCCAAGCAGGCCTCAAGGCAGGAGGAGCCCCACTCTGTGCTCAGGCAAGGTAGAGAAAAAGAAGTGAATATATGTGTGTTGCACTGTTGTGGCCTGGAATACCTGCAGGGACCTTGAGCCTCAGCTCTGCCTTCTACAGCCATGTGACCCTGGAACAGGTCCAGTGCCTCTCAAGTCTTAGGCCTGTACCCTGGGAGCACATGACCAAGAAACAAGTACAGAGCCTCCCAGACCTACAGAACAAAGTCACGACTCCACATCCGAGGGAGATGCTAAGGCCCCAGTGCGAAGGGAGACAACTGTGCCCTGTGCAGGATATGGGCCTCTCTTTCCAGCTGGGCTGGTAAGTATGTGGGAAGGCTCTGGTTTGCTGTTAGTTACTTCACAGTCCTTCTTCCCCTTTATCTAGCTTTTCTTCTCTCTAGCTTCTTGACCCAGCAACCCACAACTTTTCTTAGCTCTTCTGCCTTTGCTGACCTAGTGTCACCCACACTCAAAACATCCAGATACAGCACACACACACACACACACACACACAAAGAGGAATTACACATACACATTACACATGCAGGGGCGTGTGTACACTCAGTGTCATAGGGTCTAGAGCCCACAGGTTTTTATTTTCTGAAAAAATGTTTTACTTAAAGAATTATGTAAAAACAGGGCTGGTGTGATGGCTCAGAGGAGAGAGGCACTGACCACCAAGCCTGACAGGCCGATCTCCCTCTCTGGGTCCCACATGGCAGAAGGGGAGGATTCCCACAAGCTGACATCTGACCTCCACATGTGCAGTGTTACAGGTACACACCCCTCCACGCTACACACACAATAAACAAATAAGTGAAAAATTTTAAAGGATTACATAATTTAATTTGGACAATTGCAAGATACACAGGGTTCCAGCTCATCCTTTGACCACAACCCCCTAAGTTAATATCTCACATAGCCATAGCATGTTTATCAGTACAGAACACCTAACACTTCCATACTATTAAGGACATACTTTATTTGAGTTTCTCAATTTTTGAACAGTGTTTTTTTTTTTCTTTTTTCAGATTCCGTATTGCATTGGCTTATTTTTCTTTTTTCTTTCTTTCTTTTTTTGTTTTGTCGAAACAGAGTTTCTCTATGTAACAGCACTGGCTGTCCTGGAACTCACTTTGTAGACCAAGCTTGCCTTGAAGTCCCAGAGATCCGCCTGCCTCTGCCTCCGGAGTGCTGGATTAAAGCATGCACCACCACACTCAGCTCTGGCCTATTTTTTTTTTTTTCAACAAGTGTATTGACAGCCCATTTTGAGGTGAGATACACTTAGTACTTGACCTCTTAGGAGTGTCACACTGCATCCTGAGAGCTGGGATTGCAGGTGTGTACAACCATGTCTGGCTCATGCAGCGCTCAGGGTTGAAGCCTGGGCTTTCTACGTTCTAGGCACTCTGCCAACAGAGCTATATCCCCAGAAGTATTTTATGTTTAGTTTTGATATAAGTATAAGGCTATAGGATAATTCTTTGCAATAATTTCTGGGAGAGTTTTAATAGAACAAATTTCTGGTGACATAGTAAATAAAAGCCAAAATACTATTTAAATCAAAAGAACAAAAATTACTTTGCTTCTTGTGGTATTATTGAAAGTCGAGCTTATGACCTCATTATGAAAGTCAAGCACTCTGCCACAGAGCTACATTTCCAGCCCCACATTTTTAGTTTTTACTGAGTCAGGATCTTATTAAGTTGTCCAGTCTGGCTTTACATTCACTGTGCCACTCAGGCTGCCTTGAACACTCAACATTCCTGTCTCAGTCTACTAAACAGGTGGGATTTACAGGCTTGCACCCAGAGGCCTGCCTTAGCAGTCCATAGAGTTAAAAAACAAAACAAAACAAAAATCCCAGGGACGATCAGCACACAAAACTGTGCTGTGGAGAGAAGGACTATAGTTGGAAGGACAGATGGCTGGAGAGACAGAACTGAAGACACAGGAAACATCCTATGAGCCTGGAAGGTGAAGAAGTAGGATTGTGTGGGGATGGATACACAGAGCCCACCTGACAGTGTTGGGAGGCCAGTCAGCCAGAGCTGTGGTCACTGAGGAAGTGGGACATGGTGCCCCGCCTCCCAGGCCAGCACCAGGATGGGGTAAAGAGCAGAGCCAGGCCCTTCCTCAGCGGCGTCCCTCTTGTGCACCCTTCTGGAAATGCTTGGTACTACACTTGCCCATGGTGGACAGGAAAGGCTTGGTACAGAAATTTCGTCTCTAATCACCGGCAGTGTAGGTGAAACGCAAAGTCGAGGCAAAACTGGGTTTGTACACATAGAACTTCTGAGGTGTTCCCCAACCATTTCACCCACTCCCTGTCCTCCTCTTCCCCGCTGCTTCCACAGACTCCCCAGGGGCACAGGCCTTCCCCTGTAATATGTTGTTAGGTTCCCATGCCAGCCTTTTCCAGGGCCTGGTCACACACCCAACAGAGCTGCCATCCATTTATTTAGTTAGTTAGTTAGGTTTGGGGGGAGGATTTTGTTTTTGTTGTTATTTTGTTTTTGTGACAAAGATTCTCTATGTAGCCCTTGTGCTATGGGATGTTCTGTACGGCAAACGTGTTGCTCTGATTGGTTAATAAATAAGACACTGATTGGCCAGTAGCCAGGCAGGAAGTATAGGTGGGACTAACAGAGAGGAAAACTGAGGGAACAGAAAGGCAGAGGGAGAGACCTGCAAGCCGCCTCTATGACAAACGAGATGTAAGGTACGGGTAAGCCACGAGCCACGTGGCAACTTATAGATTAATAGACATGGGTTAATTTAAGATAGAAGAAGTAGATAACAAGAAGCCTGCCATGGCCATACAGTTTATAAGTAATATAAGCGTCTGATTATTTTATACGTGGGTTGTGGGACTGTGGGAGTTTGGTGGGACCTGGAGAGAAGCGCTCCAGCTACACCCTTGGCTGTCCTGGATCTCACTCTGTAGACCAGGCTGGCCTTGAACTCACAGAGATCCGCCTGCCTCTGCCTCTCTATCGCTGAGATCAAAGGTGTGTACCACCACACCCGGCCCTGCCATCTGTTTGTTTACGTTTGGGTGTATTTGTATGTATGTTGGTTTTCTGTCAATTTGACAAAGCTTGAGTCATTCTGTGAAGAAATTTCAATTGAGAAAATGCCCCCATTAAACTGGCCTGTAGGCAAGCCTGTGGGCATTTTCTTTTTTCTTTTTTGAGACAGGGTTTCTCTGTGTAGCCCTGGTTGTCCTGGAACTCCCTCTGTTGACCAGGCTGGTCTGGAACTCAGATCTGCTTGCCTCTGGATTAAAGACATGCACCATCACAGCCCTGGGGTGTGGGGCATTTTCTTGATTGCTGATTGGTGTGAGAGGGCCCAACCCACTGTGGGAGGCGCCATTCCTGGGCAGGTGGCCTTGGGGTGCATCAGCAAGCAAACTGGGCAAGCCAGGACAGCTGAGTTCCTCCATTGCTTCCTCGACGGACTCTGACTTTGAACGATATCTAAAACAAATAAACTTTTGGTCACGGTGTTATCACAACAATAGAAAGGAAACCCTGGCCATGTGTACTTGTGTGCTATTGAGGCAAGGTTCTCCCTGAACCTGCAAGTTTTCTTGGCTGGTCTGAAAGCCAGCAAGGCTCGGTGTTCTTCCTGCCTCTAACTTTCTCACAGAGCTGGGCTGGACAGCCAGTTTGCAATGTGGGTGCAGTCCTCATGATGGTGCTGCAAATGATCTTAACCACTGAGCCACATCTCCAGTCCCACAGAACTGACAGGGGCCAGTCTCTACTGGCATGCAGGTTGCATGAAGAGAAAATCCTGGCTTATGACTGCACTTAATAGGACCTCAAGCAACATCCGATGAATGAATGAATGAATGAATGAATGAACGCAGTAGTTATTGTCACATCTGTTGGTTTCTCTAAATCCCATGATCCCTGACAAAGAAAGGAAACATCTGCTGAGGTGCCTCCCTCAGCTGAGTGCCCAGCACCTGTCAGCAACTGCTCTGGGTCCTTCCTGTAGCAGATGGGTCCCTGCCAGACACACAGACACACACACACACACAGCCCATTCAGGTCAGCTTCACATCTGGAAGGATGAGCAATGTTTCCCCTTCCCCACAGACTCTGTGAGAATTAGCTACCAGAGACCCAGAGGGGAGCCTGGGCAGGGTCGAGTCATGCCTCCCGGGGAGGAGGGAGAAGTCCTCACCCACACCTGGTGGAAGTGTCTACCCTGTTCCTCTGTGCTGGCTGGTTTTATGTCACAAGCTACAGTCATCTGAGGGGAGGGCACCTCAACTGAGAAATTGCCTCCCTAAGATTGGGCTGAAGGCAGGCCCGAAGGACATTTTCTTAATTAGTGATGTGGGAGGGTCCAGCCCATTGTGGGTGGCGCCACCCCTGGGCTGGTAGTTCTGGGTACTATAAGCAGTCTGAGCAAGCTAGTAAGCAGCACTCCTCCATGGCCTCTGTAGCAGTTCCTGCCTCCAGGTTCCTTCCCTGTTTGAGTTCCCGCCCTGACTGCTTTCAATGATTAACTGCTATATGGAAGTGTAAGTGAAATAAACCCTTTCCTCCCCAAGCTTTTTGGTCATGGTGATTCATTACAGCAATAGTAAGACACCTCCCATAAGCTGGTCCCAAGAGATGGGAGTGAAAAAACAGACAATTGGGTCCTCTCTATGCAGCCGGGCCTCAGGGAAGGGGCTTCATTGGCTAACTCACCTTCTCCGAAACTGAATCTGTAAAAATCCATTTCTATTTTTACCACCAGCAAACATTCTTCATTTGGGAAGCAGTCTGTGTTTGTGACTATGGGAGTATACAGTGTCTGTGGAAATTTGGGGAACCACAGAAACTGTAGGAGGTGGATCTGAAAGGATCTGGCCTCACCTGCCCAGCCAGTTCCCTCTGTCTGCCCTGGGTCTGCTTCAACTCTCTGGTTCCAAGGGTCACCTCCACACCCTTCCCACCTTGGAGGGAGTTCTTGAAGCCTGCCATTCTACCACACTGTGACTGGTAATGGTCTCATATCCGTGGAAGCTGGTGGTAACCCTGCCCTCCCTTGGTGGACAGAGCCTGAGGCCCTGGAGCCCATGTGGCCCCAGAAATCCCATTCATTACAACTGGGTGCCAGGTGCCTGGAGAGACGATGGGACTATCTAGCCAGAGAGGGGAGTCACTAGTCATTTGGGAACAAACACTGTCATCTACTGCCAGGCAATACCCCGACTTTATTCACAGGGAAACCTGCAGGTGCCTTCACCTTGAAGCCTCACAGGTTGGGATTTTGACTGTGGGAATTACTGCTATGACCTGCCTCCATAGG